AATAGCCCCAAGCATTTCCTCACCTGCAGTCCAGCTCCTGTCTAAGCCATTAAGTACAGTACTCCTGTACTTATAAAGAATAAAGCTATCCATTTTATTTCAAGGGTCACCAAACTGCTCTGCCGTATAGTAACTATTTTAGGCTTTATGGGCCGTACAGTCTCTGTTGCAGCTGCTCAACCCTTGTTACATGAAAGCAGCCACAAACAAGAGCATGGCTGTGTTCCAATAAAACTTTGTTTATAAAAACAGGCCTAGGAGCAGATCTGGCCCAGGGCTGTAGTTTACCGGTTCCTTTTTCACTCCCTCATTTACTATCGATTATGAGCTGCCCTTAGCTTCAGGTTGAGACTCAGAACATGGCCTACAGCCCTGTGACTGCTTCTTCCTGTCCCGACCTATTTCCTCGGCACCCTCCTTACTTATGCTCTGCTGCAGACAGGCTGGATTTCACTTACCAGAGCACGTTTAGCTTTTTTTCTTGTCTCCTCTCTGCCCTTGGATGTGCCATTCTTTTGCTTCTCCTGTCTCTCTCTTATATAGTTTACTTCGCTGCACCTTCAGATCCTGATTTAGATGTCATTTCCTCTGAGAAACTTATCTGGACTCACGTGCACCTCCCCACGAGTGGATTAGCTTGGCTTTCTTCACAATCCAGGAGAGAGTGTGTTACCGCTGTCACTTACCAGGCTGGGTTTCATCTGTTGACCTGTCCTAACCAGAGTACAGGCTCCTCGAGGCAGGGACCACGGTATCTCTGTTACTGTTGTAGCCACACATGAAAAAATGGGAAAGACCTCCTGAGAAAAGGCTAGGGGACAAGGGGAAGATTGACCATGGAGGGAAGTGCAGGGACACAGGTTTCATGCTGGTACAAGACAGCTGTGCCCAGCAGAGCCGATGGATAGGAGTGAATCCTCCAGCAGGTCGTGAACCCCCTTCACTGAGGTTTCCGACACCAGCTGGGTTAGGTACCTTGGAGATCAAATGTGGCGAATCCACCTGAGGTCAGAGGTCGCTGTATGTGTACATGTTTAGAATTGGTGGCCGGCCTCCAGATGTACACAGAGTGAGCTGATTTCTTCTCCTCAGCCCAAAGTTTGCTGATATTTGCGGAGTTGATATCTGCGATCAAGAGGACACTGGCCCGCCTCCTGGTGATCATCATGAGCTTGGGATACGGCATCGTGAAGTAAGTCCTGCTGTCCTGCAAAGTCATGGTGTCTGTAGTCCTGCGGCCAGCCACCCCCACTGTGACCTGTGAGGCTGGACACCGCTCAGTATCATTACACAAACCCCCTAGGAAGTCTCTGCAAGAACGCGTTCCTCAGGGATGGCCACGCACTAACTATTGGATACGGTCTTAAAATCAAGGCCCTGAGTTGGAATTCCAGTAGCTTTTTTCTATAGTTCACTGAATAATCAACTTTGAGGATATGGAAAAATTCAAATAGTCCTTGAAGTTCAATCCATTTTCTATTTCCTAAACAGCATAGTTACACTTTTATGACTATTTGGTCATCTTAAGAGAAGGATCCCCACCAAGTCAGCAAGATTTCTGACTGAAATCCTGTCCTCTCAGCCCCAGTTTCTTCCCCACCCTCAAGCAAGTCTTGCCTCTCATCACTGTGAGTCTAGGGGCCTGAATGTGAAAGAGCTTCTCCTCGTGATCCTCTTCAGACCATTCTCCCCTCTTCCCTAAAACCCCTGACCCCCGGAGCTCAGGCGTTCAGGCTGGACCGCCTGCTCCATCTTGCTTTGGCCCTTGTCACTGTCCAGGTTTCTCCTCTCATTCCCTACCTCTCTGAGCCCTTGTTCCCTGTCTCCACCAGAATCCCCTGTGTGTTAAGTAACCTGATCTCCTCACCTCATCACCGCTGCTGCCTTGCCCTTCACCTCACCTCTGCTGGGATTCAAGATTTTATGCCTCTGTGCACCTGTACCACCACCACCACCATCATCATCACAGTTTTAAACAATCCATCATTCAGCTCTCACTGCCTCTCTCCAGTTCACTTTCTCTGATATGTCAGCTCCAGTTACTCTTTGATCCTGGTGCGGCCTCTGGCCTTTGGCCCTCACCTTCCACTGGCCCTCCCCTGTCACGTGTCACCTACCCTTCAGCTGTACATTCCTGACCCTGCAGGGCACTGACATCTTGCAAACTCCTTGGGCCCTTTGCCTGGTCTCCCTGCCTCTGCCATGGTCTCCTGTCAGTCTGTTCAGACAGCTGCAGCTAAGGCAATCCTTTTAAAATGTAACTCAAGTCTCATTATTTTCTGCTAATTTTTCTCAGTAAAACCCAAATTCCTCCTGTGGCTTTTCTGACGGCTGCCCTCCTCTCCTGCCTCCTCCCTTTTGAACATTGCTCAGTCCCCTCGCTGTCTTGCTGTTGCTGTTCCTTAAACACGACACACTTCCGTGCAGTGGAGGGCCTCTTCCCCAGACCCAGGCATGGTGTGCCCCCCCTCTTCCCTCAGTATCTATTCCTCTGTCATTGCCCCAGGAAGACAGCCCTGCCCGGATTCCTAACGCGGCACCCACCCTCCGTTAGATCCCCACCCTCTATACAAGACCACTCGATGCATACGTTAGCATTGTTGTCTCCCCTGACAGGAGAGGAGTAGGAGTTGTGCCTGTTCTGTGTCCTGTGTTCCCTGAGGCCCCAGTGCCACCCCGACACAGGTCATGCAGTAAATGCTAGCACTGAATGTGCACATGCACGTGTGTGAGCTCAGGATTGGTATACTTAGTGAGATTTTAGCCAGGAGAGCTTCTTTTCATTGGGCTTTTATTGAGATTCCTTCTCAGATGCTTTGCTTTGAGGCTGGGGGCGTGATACGCATGCAGAACACAAAACCCCCCGGTTGCATCTCGGGTACCTCCTTGTTCTCGTTATGAACATCAGGTGCCTCGGTGTGAGGTGAGTTGCTTCCAGGGAACAGGACGCTGCACTGTGTGTATGGGCATAGCCCTTGGTGAGTGCATCCCTTCATTGTCAGCCTGTTGTGTCAGCCTAACACTCTGGCTGTTGGAGGGTTCCAGTTAGCTGGCTATCACAAGTCAGAACTCAGAGGACCTAAGTTAGATAGCTAGTCTTACATATGAGCTGTGGATGCTAGGTTAATTTTTACTTAGATAAAAGACAAATTTAAATATTTTTTCAAAACCATTTTCTTCTTCTAACTCTGAGAAGAGGGTGTTTTGAGCTAATAAATTCTGACTTGCAAATGTCATGAAATTTCAGTTCTATTTTCACATTAATTGCAGAAATCGCCATCTTTGCATTTTCCTAATTCACTTATATATTGAAAGACTCAGACTGTTATTTTAGTTCTTTGGCATTGAAAGAATAAAAATTAAAGTCTTAGCATTCTGGTTTCAGGTATTGAGAGAGTTTGATCTCCGAATACCCTGCTCTTTCTCTGCCCAAGCCATACATCAGCAGATTATCTCTACCAAAGCATATCCCTGAACAGTTTTTAATTAACGTCAGTAAGAGAGTTATGATTTCTGCCAGTGACACTCAGGAGTTGCCCTTTAGCTTCCCGGGTTTCTTCCATCTGCTCTTCTGCTGTGAAATCATACCTGGGCTGGGTGATAACATGCAGCACACGCTGCCTTCTCGCAGCAGAACCCTCTTTTGCTTCCCGTGCCGAGAAGGAGGCCTGTTTTCTGAGCCTGTTGCTGCCTTGTTCCCAGGGAATGTGGTGTTTCCTAAAGCAAAGCACCTCGGGTGGGAATAAGACTGACCTGATTGGGCGGTCGCTTCTCTGTATTGAAATGGGGCCAGATGCATCCAGCTTACCAATGGTTTGTTTATTTGTTTGCCTTTTTCCCCTTTTCTCCTCCTTGTTCCAGGCCTCGCTTAGGGACAGTCATGCACCGGGTGATCGGACTGGGGCTTCTCTACTTCATCTTTGCAGCAGTCGAAGGCGTGATGAGAGTCGTTGGGGTAAAGACTGCATAATTCACTACCACCCCTTTTGTTTTTGCTATGACTTTCCCCAGATGAATTTTTTTTTAAATATACTTTTTATTGATATCAGAGAGGAAGGGAGAGGGAGAGAGAGAGAGAAACATTAATGATGAGAGAGAATCCTTCACGCCCTCCACTGGGGATCAATCCTGCAACTCATGTGTCCTTAACCAGAATCAAACCCGGGACCCTTAAGTCCGCAGACCAACTGAGCCAAACCAGCTAGGGCTGAATTTTTAAAGATAGGAAATTTATGAAAGAGGCCCAATTTAAGTTTTATTTTCTATGGAATATTTTCCTTGTTAATACTTCCTGGAAGTGAAAGGCAAGGCAGAGCACTTCCTGGAATGATATGGGACTGGCTGCATCTCGAAGATGTTCGTAGTTGCTCCTTTGAAGAGCACTTGTCTCTGTCGTTCAGTCTGTACACATTCACTTCTTCCTTACGCCTGGGCTTACACATGTGTCAAGTCAGGAGAAAGTCGGTTGTAGCCCTTTCGCACAGAGACTGTATATCTCACTGTTAAGTCCCATTTGGTTGTAAGTTTTCTCTGACTCTGTAGATGCGCTGTTTTGGGGATTCAGCAGAGCCCACTTTTTGAAGAGACAGGAGCAGATAGTGTTCAAGGGAACGGCTGGTGCTGCGGCAGCAATGCTTTCCTCTCGAGAGAAGTCAGAATAGTTATGTCTGTGATGAACCTTAGATTTTCGCTCTCAGTTTTTCTTACTATAACTGACGACTGAGTAATTAGGAAAGTTATTTTGTACTTGATTTAAAGAGCCTTGTAATTTTTGCCTGCAGTGTGTTGGCTTAGGTGTATAAATCAGGTTACTGCACAGAGCAGCTTATCCAGATATTGTCTGTGAGTTCAAGTCACATGTTTGCTCTGACCCTTAAAACAGGACACTTGTCCTATAATGTTAAGCCTCATTCTTCTTCCTATAGTCTGCGTGCTGTGTTAGATACCCCTGCTGTTTTCCTCTTTAATTCTTGAAAGGGGTATTTATTTTTACCTTTATATAACAATGAAGAACTCTGCATTTATATATCACTTATGGGAAACTAATCTTTATAGGGGAAAAAACAAACAAAAGATATTCCAATGTAGATATAGTATATCCTATTTAATAAAGAGATAATATGCAAATTAACCCTCAAGCTGTAATGCCATCACAAGATGGTGGCGCGCATAGCAGGGGCGGGGCTGGCTGCTCCATGCGCCTGCTGCTGCAGTTCCCACGGCCCTGTGGGGGGAGCAGGAGGCCTGGCCGCTGCTCTGTGCACCTGCCGCCCGAGTCCCCTCAGCCCCGCCGGGGTAGGGAGGAGCGGGTCCCCAGTGCTGCTCCCCACGGCTTCCCTGGGGAATCAGACATCCCCCAAGGGGTCCCAGATTGGAGAGGGTGCAGGATGGGTTGAGGGACGGACACCTCTCCCCACACCCCCTCCATTGCATGAATTTCATGCACTGGGCCTATAGTATGTTATATTTCCTTAAAACTTCACATAGTTAACATTGTAGATATGTGATTTGCATACACTTCTCTGTCAGCTCTCAATTAGAGTAAGTGGCTAATCAATGGTTTGTTTTCCCCTTCTACTCAGTTCCTTTTCCTTATTTTCTTTCTCCACATCCTTTGCATGCCGTAGGAAAGAGGAGGGTCCATTTCCCTAGTAGCTGTGGCTGTAGGTTTGGTGTGGAGAGGGGAGGTTAACAGTTGCCCTGGGGGGCTGGGGACATGTATCTGCTATTTGTCATTCCATAGTTTAGTTGGACCTTGTCCTCAAACAAGTTGGTGACAAAACATCATCTTCATGTGCTTAAAGACAGTTCTATTGGGTAGTAAAAATCTTTTATGTGGCCTTTATAAAGCGATGCTATAAGCTGAATTGTTTTTTTTCATCAGATAATTCCTGTAATGTAATGAAACTTCTACTTTCAGTTTTTTTCTTCCCATTTTTATCTTTCAGGGTTCTAACCATTTAGCTGTTCTTTCTGGTGACATTATTTTAGCAATTATCGACTCCATTTTTGTATGGTTCATATCCTTTACTATGGCCTTCTAAAATAGTTTATTATAGCATTAAAATCATGTTACTTTAATTTGTATTATTAATAAGAGAAAGAAATATAGTTTTACATTATTGTTACCTCAACATAGGAATTTAGTTGAAGGTGAAAAGTAACAACTCCCCCAAAAGGAATATCTTGTTTTTTTCTATTTAGTTCAGCAAACTTACGTACTTACTGTGTACCCCATACTGAGGAGGCCTGGAAGAAAAAGGTATTGTCTCTGTGCTTCAGAATCCACGGTCTGGTAGAAGAGACAGAAAGAACTACGAGGACTATAGCAATAGACTTGGCCATTTAGGGGGGTGTCATGCAAACAGAAGAATGAGAGAAGGTAATTCTAGCTTGAAATCAGGAAAGACTGTATAGAGATGGTGATGTTTACATTGAAACTGGGAGGACAAATAGGTTTAGAATGAAGAGAATTAAGAATCAGGGAAGAGGCATTCTGGGAAGAATTGAAGGGAACACATAGTTGGAATGCATGGACAGTGGCAGAGTGTCCCAGAGTAGCTGCCTGTGGGGGACAGGTGTGGGAGCCATGGAAGGTGGGGCAGAGGGAAGGGTAGAATGACCTGCTCAAGCAATGAGAGTTCCTTGTGCAGGTAGAAAGTAGAGGGAATCGAAGCTGCACAGGGGAAAAACATGAAATGTGTGTTAGAAAGAACTCAAGATGACCTAAAAAGATGACTTGGAAAATAAGAGACTAGAGACAGGAAGTCTAGTAAGAAGTCTTTTGCAGTGGTCTACGGAAGAGACGGTGAGGGTTAGAAATAGGGCAGAGGAAATAAAGAAAAACTCCACATGATAGAGTTGCAGAAGAAGAGGAGAAGGCTCCAGAGAAGTCCCATGGGTCTCGTTCGGGTGGCTGGGCAGTGTTGCCATTCTCAAGATGGTGCCTTGGAGAAGGGACCATATGGATGCAGTTTGAGCTGCCGGGGAATAAGTATGAGAAAGAGAGTTGGAAATCCCAGCCTGGGTTTGCAAGAGGAGTCAGAACTGGTGGGGAAGGTTGGAGATCACCTTTGTTCGAGAGAAGGTTGCAACGTGCAAGTGGCCCAAAGAGAACACAGAACAGCGAGAGGAGAGGAACCAGGGTGGGGGGTGGGGCGAGCCTGGCGAGCCAGTTGTGTGCAGGAGGAGCACCAGGTAAAGGGAGGTGGGAGAACCAGGAGTTGGTTAGGGAGTGGAGATTGGGAGAGCTGCGGTGACGGGGCAGGTCTACAGCGGCCAGAGCTGCAGAGAGGGATTCCCAAGGCACTGTACAGTGGCTTCCATCTTGCAGAGGTTGCAGTGGGACAGCAGGAGAGCAGGTTTGGTGAAGGTGGCGGGCAGAAGACGTAGCACAGCAGAAGTGTGAGGGCAGTGTGAGTTGATCCTTGAGAGCCCCCTCCCTGATTCAGGACTCATTAGAGTCTGGGTATCCCCAGTGTGTTTTCTGTCTGGTGGGGCTTTGCACATGTACTCACTGAAATGGAGGAATTCTAGAGGAGCTATCGCCTGGTCAGAGCAGAAGGCAGGGTTCTGCAGGAGAAGAACACTATTTTCATTTCTTCTGTATTTATGTTCTCCCTGAAACTCTTCTATAGATAGGATTTATTTTTACCAAGTTTTTTTGTACGCATTGTCTTTGATACTTGTGTTTTAGCGTTTAATATGAAAGGTTCTTTTGTCTTCCTTGTATTTCTTTTCGTTTTCTCATCTTTGACTCTCAGGGGAAGGTGGAGGGCTTGCCTCTGCCCAGGTCCCTTCTCCAGGGGAGCAGCTGGGCCTGCACATGTGCACTGAGGCTTTCCCAGCCCCTCATGGGGGTTCTTCTAGGCCAGGTCTGCCTGTTCTTTGTGAATTCTCAGTTTGCTTCCAAGTTATAAGAAAACAAAACTTTAACTTTATTAGCCTTATTCTCTGAAGCAGTGGTCCTCAGCCTTGCTTGGGTCCTGGGATCAGATGCCTTTGGAAGTGTAATGAGGCCTGGAGCCTCTCTGCACAGTTATAGCTGTGCCCCCCACCCACACAGGCGGGTTGCCTGCAGTGGGGCATTTACAGTCCTTCCAAGTGATATTCATGGATCCCCTGGTGTCTAAGGGGTGTCCAGTTAAGAAATAGTACTTGAGATTTAAAGAGTTGTTTCTCACTGAACTTGATTGAAAATCGTGTTCTACTTCTGTCTACTAGTTTAGAAGCTACTAGTTTAGAATCCAAGTTTATTGAATAAAATTCTAGTTAAATAAGTCTGATCTTCTAAGAGAGTGGTATAAACATCTTACTAGTAATTTTCATATTAAAACACATTTGAAGGCATTTGGTTGTTTAAAAGGTAAAGTACATTCTTCAGTCCTGCATGTGACTCTAGGGCTGCAGGCCCTGTTCTGGCAGGTGCATCACTGCAGGAAGCTCACCTGCCTTCGGAGAGGGGCAGTCGGTGTGGACATTCCTGGAAGGGGGAGAGGCAGGACTCCAGGGGCCGCTCACCTGGCCTAGGAAAGGGAGGGCAGCGTGTCCACCCTAGAAGGGGGAGAGGCCAGATTGCAGGGGCTGCTCACCTGGCCTATAAGAGCTGCGGGCAGCATGAGCAGCCCTGGAAGGGGGAGAGGCAGGGCTGCACCTCTGAATGCTCTAACTCCATCTGGATTTGAATGAGGGTAATTTCTCGCCTTTATGGACAGCATTGGTTTGATCTGTTCCATCACAGGAGCTAAATTGGGGTGGGGAAAAAGGAAAACAAGGTGAAAGATTAGTAAGGCATAATGTTAATTATTCATATTTAGAATAAAAGTGAAATGAAAGTCATGAAGAAATCCATGGGGTGTTAATGTTTCATTGGTGAGAGAGGAAATTTACCTTAAAAAGAGGTGCTTTCTTTTAGATTGCTGTTTGGTGATTTTTTTTTTCTTAAATCCTCACCTGAGGATATTATTCCATTGATTTTTAGAGAGAGGGAAAGACAGAGAGAAATATCGATGTGAGAGAAACACATCGATTGGTTGCCTCCTGCACGAGCCCCGACCAGGGCCTGGTCCTGGAAGGAGCCTGCCTCCGAGATATGTGCCCTTGACTGGAATCGAACCCGGGACCCTTCAGTCTGCAGGCCAATGCTCTATCCACAGAGCCAAACTGGCTAGGTCTGTTTGGTAATTTTTATTACTGAAAGGTCTGCTTTCTCTGTACAAAAAGAGAGTGGGTTTCCCAAATGATACAAGTGACGAGCAAAGAAGCAGAGCTGCCTAGAGACTGGGGTGCATGCATAAGGACCCTTGCTTCCTTTGCTTTTGGGGAATTCATTGCCGCTAATCCTGTGCAAATCTAACTCTAAAGTAATAGCAGAAATAGCCTAAAAAATCCAAAGCCACAGGCTTTCTCACGAATCGCCCTCCTGTTTTTTCTGCTCGTTTTATTTTCTTTGCTGTTTTGCTGCAGGCCAGTGACTCTGATCTTGTGCTTCTGGCCAGCCTCCCTCTGTCTCTTCTTGACTCTGGCTTGTGCTGGTGGATATCCTTTTTCCTGCGGCAGTGGGCCCCGTGGATGCTCCTTCGGGATGGTGCACCATCCGCTTTTCTAACACTTGGCTGTAATGTGCGAAATGGTTATGCTTCCCTGTTAGCAGTGTTTTGGTAAGTGCAGGCTTAGGCAGTTCTGAATTTGCCTTTGATCTTTTTGTTCCCTGGCTTTTAACCCTTTGAGTGCCAACCAATGTCCTAGGAACTATGCTAAAATTGCCAAGGCATTTTTGCTGATTTTACAGCAGTTTAGGAATAAAATGATGAATCGCAAGTAAATGAAGTTACATATTCAAAAACTTAAGGAAACCTTTACTACATTGACATATTTAGCAATATCGTCATCACTAATAAAAGCAGGCTTAGAACTGGACGCCATTTCGAAGCTTTGATAGCGCTCCCGGCACTTTTGGCGAAAGACAGGAGGAGCGCGATCGCGCTCCCCGGCACTCTAGGGGTTAAGAAGCACTTTTGAATTATTAAATGACACCAGATTTTTGACATAGAAAATTGGTTTTAGTCAAGAATTTCTAAAGAGTATTTGTCTTGATAACGTTTAACCATTTGTACTCCATAAGTGTCTATAGACGCAAGCGGCGGAACTTTTTAAATTAAATTCAAAATATCGTGGCAGTTAACTGGTTAAGGAATACTGCACATTTGCATGTTTATAAATTCTGAGAGTAGCTTAATTGGATTGTGTTATTTTAGTCATTGATCTTTTGAAACTTTTTGCTCATTTCGAAAAGCAGTTTTGGTAGTTTTAGCCGCTAAAAAGAAGCTTTGGGTTAGTGAGTATTTGGGAAAATAGGCAGAAGTGGGAATCTCCCGCGTGCATGCTCTTGCTCAGCGCTGTGATTTCCGGGTGTGGTTCACGGACAGCTGGTGCTGTGCTCCCGAGGAGCGGCTCCCACTTACAGACGGACTCTGGCTGCATCTCAGCCTCGCTGCTGAGGAGCCTGTGCAGAGGCCCTTCTCTGCTTCCCACCTGAGAGTGTGAACTTCACAGGAGCCTGAGCTGGTGAACCCTGTGGTGAGGAAAGCCCCGCCCTTCCACCTTCTGGGAATAGGCTACTACAGAGAACCCCCTCTCCGGTAGGACTTAGATGAGATTCCCACACCCCCTGGCTTACCTGTGACAGGGCCATACTTAGACCTGTGTACCGGCTGGCCCATGTGGACCACAGTAAGCTGTCGCCTTCCCCCAGGTTCCTGAGCTTTCGTCCCCCAAAGGCCTCTGGAAAAGCCCCTCCGGGAAATCTGCAGACCCCAGGAAAGCCGTTCCCTGATGCACTGTCCCATCACGCCACCCACTTCCCCACACCTGAGCGCTCTAGTCCTGTTTCCTCCTTCCCGGAGAAGCAGAGCCCTCTCCTGTGTGACCGTTGGGACTTTAAAGATCTTACAGTGGGACATTCTCTCTTCTGCAATCGTCCTTGGAAGGAAGTCTGTCTTTACCTAAGTCCAGATTTGTTTTATTTGACATATTTCAATTTTTAATTGATAAAATGGAACTGCTAGATGATCCAGTTTCTTAATTACGGTCAGGGAATCGACTAGAGAGAAAGAGAAAAGCACAAGCCAAGTGGGAAGTCCCAGGGGGACCTGCAGAGCGGCCGGCCTGGGGCCGGCAGGCCGTGTGCTGCTCAGGCCTGTGGGCTGGGACTCAGCAGTGAGGAGGACGTCATGGGGCTTCTTGCTTGAGTGTTTTCCTCCAGGTTCATTCAGAAGTGGATTTTAAAGCAAAATCTGCGGTAATCAGTATCATGATTATACAGCACCGGCTGAAATTCCATTTGCTGTGTTTCTGGTACCTTTCAGTTAATGGAGCTATATTCAGCAGTACTAGTTTTGGACATGTAAAAGATTCTAATTTTGATTTTAGTTTATTCCTATTTTAAAATGTTTTTCCTTAACTTTTTCACATTTTTATAAGTGTGGCACAAACTATGAAGACTCTGAGGCTAAGAAAGAACATGGTGAAATTTTCTTTATACAGGCACTTTACAAATACGCTGATCTTTGCTGTGCTGGGTAAGTAATGAACTTCTCTAATTATAGCAGATTATTTCAGGATCACGTTTTCTTCAAAGCTGACTTTTTCGGTGTGTTTCAGCTTCTGTCGTGTTTATGGTGTGGACAACTACGACATTTAGATTTGCAAAATGTCGATCAGTAAGTACAATCTAAATAGATTTTGTTTTTAATTATACTATTTTGTTTTGTGTACTTTTGAAGAATTTAGTCTGTAAATCGAGGTAATTTCAGGGGAGATTTTTCTGTTTACCTTGAATTATTTGATATAGAATTATAAAAACTTTGGCCTCTTCCAATGAATCTGAAAAAGTTTCTCCTAAATCTGCTTTTCCAGTTATGCCCTTTTCTCAACTTCCTTTCATAGATTTTGAATTATATATAATTCTTTCATATATAATTGAAGGTAACAGGAAATTCTTTTTTTCCTGCACACCATGAACTTGGGCTGTTTATATCTAATGGGATTGATTATAAGCCTTCAGTCTGACATGTTTCTAGGACGGTGCACCCATTATGAACACTCAGGAGATGCTTGCCGTGAGTTCTTGAGTTGGAGGATATGTTTCTTAGACTGAAACCCTAAAAGGCCAGGACCTCGCCTCTAGTTCTGTATGAACAGTTACAGCAGCCCTCTGACAGGCCTGGACTCTGGACTTCCGTTGCCTTAGGGATGAGATAAGAGACTGACTTTCTGGAATTTCTTTTCTCTCCTTCCTCACCTTTGTTTTCTAAATCTTTCAGTTACCCCTAACATTTTATGGGAGGGAATGTTTATAATGTTAAACAACAGCCCTTCACAAACATTTCACACAACATGATAAAACCCCCGTCTCACTAAAAGCAGAACAACCTATTGGGAGAAGTACTGCATTGAGATTTTTGCATCAGAAATTCTGTCAAAAATACAGCACCCCCCACCCCCCCTTACTTGAGGGGGATATATTCCAAGACCCGAGTGGATTAAAACTGTGGATAGTACTAAACCCTATATGTATAGTGTACTCTGTTTTTTATGTTTTTTTCCTATACATATATACCTGTGATAAGGTTTTATAAGTTAGGCACAGTAAGAGATTAACAAAAATAAAATAGAACAATTATAACAGTATATGGTAATAAAAGTTGTGTGAACATGGTCTCTCTCTAAATTTCTTTTGAATTTTTTATTTCTGGGCTTTGCCATTTAATATTTTAGGACTGCAGTTGACCATGGGTAATGAAACCATGGACAGTAAAACCGTGGATAAGAGGGGACTACTGTACCCATTGTCAGCTTGATTCTAATTCTGCAGTTAACCTGCCTCATGTCTGTTCTCTTAAAAAAAATACATTAAATGATCTCTGAAGTGTCTTTAAACTAATTCTTTTTCTGACATGATACAATATAATTTATGTTAGGGTTTTATTCATCTGATTGGCTATAAGGCTAAAGTAAGCATTAATGTTGATTTTATAAAGATAGCATTTCATAGTTTTACATTTTCTTAAAAAATGTGTACTTACTTATTTGGAAGACTTAACTGGTTGGAAAGATTTCATTAGGACTTGTCATTGCACACTATTTGAATCGAAAACCTATGTTTAAGTTTAATAGAAAATTAACTTTTCATGTTTGAATTGTTCTTACTGTAGGATTGGATGGAAAGCTGGGTTGATGAAGCGTTTTGGAGCTTCCTTTTTTCACTTATCCTTATGGTAATAATGTTTTTGTGGAGACCATCAGCCAATAATCAAAGGTACCTAACAGAGGAAAATCCAGGTTTGGCAAGCATTTGTTGATAACCTGCTACCGTGTTAACACGTCTGTAGAGACTATGGGAGAGTAGTCCATGCTTATCAGGAGTATAGGTCAGGTGGGGAGGCACCCATCACAGATGCAAGACAGTGAAGTCAGGCATGTCAAGTGAGTCCAGGGGCAGATGGAGGCAGGTGGGGAAGACTCCAAAAGGCAGGATTCACGTTTCATCCTAAGGAAAGGAGCAGGGCAGTGAAGGCCTGAGCTGGGAAGGAGTGTGCATTTCTGGGTCGTGGGGAAACCAGGTATGCTTTGGAGTTTGGTTCATGCTACATACACTTGGAGGAAGGTAAAGACTTGAATGCTAAGTTCAGAAGGTTGTGCTTTAGACAGTATGTGATGGGGAGCCCTACCTCCTCCACCTCATTCCTCTTCCCCAAGAAAAGCGCTGTGAGGAAAAGTGTATAAGTAGGTACCAGTGTGCAGTAACAGTAATACATATTTACATGTATACACTATTCTGCACCTTCTTGTTAAAACGTATCCACATTAAAACAGTATGGAGTTTCCTCAAAAAGTTAAAAATGGAACTCCCATTCAACCCAGTAATCCCACTTTTAGGAATATATCCCAAGAAATCAGAAACACCAGTCGGAAAGGGCATATGCACCCCTATGTTCATAGCAGCACAATTTACAATAGCTAAGATTTGGAAACAGCCTAGCGCCCAGCAGCAGATGAGTGTATTAAAAGACTGTGGTACATCTACACAGTGGAATACTATGCTTCTGTAAAAAAGAAAGAAATTTTACCATTTGCAACAGCATGGATGGAGCTGGAGAGCATTATGCTAAGCGAAATAAGCCAGACAGAGGGGTCAGTGGGAGAAAAAGGAGACATATGTAATACTTTAAAAAAAACAAAAACATGTCCACATTATCTGGTGTGGATCTTCCATTCTGCCATGTTACTTTTAATGGCTTTATGGCCTTCCATGTTATGAATGTAGCATAATTTATGGAAGCAGTCCCTGAATATTAAACATTCTGTTTCTAGGGTTTTTGCCATTATTATCAGCAGTGTTTTCTGAATGCTGTTGGACCTAGTAAATGTGGCTCACTCGTGTGTTTTATTTTCACCAATCATGTTTAATAATTATTTGTCTGTTATTATAATTAGCAGTTTCTCCTTTGTTAGGGCAGGAATTAATCGTGTGAGCAGGGAGGGAGACCTGGCATGAGCAAGAGGCCCTCCCTGAACACGACACGTTGCCGGACTGCTCTCCAGACAGATCTCACTCATTTCTGCTCTCACCAGCGGGGCTGGGGGGCTCAGGCCCACGATTTCTTCACAATAAAAACCTCCCTAATTTAAGAGTAAAAATAATTAAATTTTTATCTTAACTTACACGAAACTTTAAAAATTGTAGATGTTTTTATGTGTAATGACTCTTAGCTAAAAGCTGAAAATTGAACAGGCTTAAACACACTAGTAAAACTTGTTGTTTTGACACAGGTATGCCTTCATGCCCTTAATAGATGATTCTGATGATGAAGTTGAAGAATTCATGGTAACATCTGAAAATTTAAGTGAGTGATATGTTTTCTTACGGAGTGATAATTGTATATATTTTAACAAAGAAGTATCTTTACCTGTGATGTAAGTTCAGATACATTTTTTTCTTATAAAATATTTTAAAAATTATACCTGTAGAAACCTCTATTATGCTAGATTCTCATAAAAGAGGAATCAGTAATGAAATTTTCAAGATTATTAATGTAGTTTGAGCTTTGTTACTAATTTGCTCTAAGTCAGTGGTTCTCAACCTTCCTAATGTCACGACCCTTTAATATAGTTCCTTATGTTGTGGTGACCCCCAATTTCATTGTTACAAATTGAATATAATTAAAGCATAGTGATTAATCACAAAAACAATATGTAATTATATATGTGTTTTCCGATGGTCTTAGGCGACCCCTGTGAAAGGGTCGTTTGATACCTAAAGAGGTCGCGACCCACAGGTTGAGAACCGATGCTCTAAGTAGTGAGGTAGGTATACTGCTTTTCACAAAAATGATTTGGTATATATTCATCTTCCTGGTGATTACTCAATAGAGTCACCTCTTCTTGCTCTTTAAAATTAGGCACATCTGTAATTTCCCAGTCATGCCCAAAACATTTTAGTGCTAATTTCATCTTTCTATTAGTTTCTACATAGCATTTTATTAATTTTAACATAATACTCTAATCAATAATTTGAGTAGAATACAATGGAACTCTTCCCAGAGGAAGATGAGAAAACCCAGAGTCTGTATGATACATTGTCAGTGTCCAGTATGCAGTGATAAATTACTCGATGTGTGATGAAATTGGAAATGGTGACCCATAGTTAATGGAACAATCAGTCAATAGAGATCAGGAGTGGCATAGATATTACACTTAGCAAGAAAGGTTTTAAAAGTAATTATTACAAATATATTAAAGAATCTACAGGAATAGATTGGTGATGACAAGGTAAATTTCAGAAGAGATGAAAACTTAGAAAAAGGATGAGAAGGAGAGAGAGGAGGAGGAGAAGGAAGCACAATCAAATAGATAATACTATTAATTCTTCTTTTAAAAACATAGTATTATTTCTTGTTATTAAATATGAGTCTATGAAGGAAAATATTATATAATTTTATGTACTTGTCTCTATAACATTTCTCATTATAGCTGACGGAATAAAATTAAGGACCTCAAAAACGGTTTCCAATGGAACAGCTAAACCACCTACTTCTGATAATTTTGTGAGTAACATACATGTTTAATAGTTCAGTCTTTAATACTTAAGGAATTGTCACTTTTATTGACCACCAGAAGAACATTTCTTTTTTTAATACTCATTGATTTTTTTAGAGAGTAGGAGGGAAGGGTTGGGGGAGAGAGTGAGAGAGAGAGAAACATTGATGTGTGAGAGACACATCAACCAGCTGCTTCCCAATCAAGCCAAGAAGTGAACCCTCAACCCAGATATATATCCTTGACCAGGAATTGAACCTGTGACCCTCTGGTCCACAGGCCAATGCTCTAACCACGGAGCACACCGTCCAGGGCAAGGAAACATTTTTTACTAATGTTTTTTGTATGAAAATAAATGTTAGCAAGTAGCAGCAATATTGGTTAAGTCTAGGACAGTGATGGCAAACCTATGACACGCGTGTCAGAAGTGACACGTGAACTCATTTTTTTTTATTGATTTTTCTTTGTTAAATGGCATTTAAATATATAAAATAAATATCAAAAATATAAGTCTTTGTTTTACTATGGTTGCAAATATCAAAAAATTTCTATATGTGACACGGCACCAGGGTTAAGTTAGGGTTTTTCAAAATGCTGACATGCCGAGCTCAGAAGGTTCGCCATCACTGGCCTATAACCATAACTGCTGTAGATCCTGCTTCTCATGTGCTGTTCTCCGACCAACAATAGCAAGAGCATCACCCAGGAACTTGTTAGCAACGCAGACTCTCAGATACCCCGGAGCTGCTGAGTCAGAATCTGCTCTCTAGCTGGGGCCCATAGATGATTACCCTGCCCATAAAGGTGGAAAAGCTTTGTTCGAGCAGAAGCTTGTGTGAATTTGTCAGCATTTGGAAGTGATTTTGAAGACATTTTGGTAGCATCTGTTATCTGTTGGGAAGGGACTTTTACTATATTTATTACCTATGCAGTTAAAAAAATTATCATTTAAAAAAAAACAGTGGAAGCTTGAATAAAACAGCAAAATATAGAGCAGAGATGAGTTTTAAAGTATTTTCTGTATATGATTTATGCAGAAAAGTGATAATTATGAAAGTAATTAAGCAAAATTGAAATGCCTGTCATACCGTTTTTGTTTGTTTTTTATTCTCACCTAAGGATATGTTTTTATTGATTTTATTTATTTGTTTTATTTTCGTGGGTATATAAGAGTCTTTATTGTAGCCCACGT